AGACAAAGTATATGTGAACTGCTGTATGAAAAGTGAATTTACTCTGTAAATCTTCACCCAAATCCTAAAAAAAAAAAAAACAGGCTAAAAATCAAAGATTGAAAAAAGATATATCAAACAAATAGCAACTAAAAAAAGCAGAAGCAGCAATATTAATTTCTGATAAAATGGACTTTAAGACAGAAACCACCTTAAGAGACAAAGAAGGACATCATATAATGATTAAAGCATCAGCTGAACAAGATAATATAACCATAAGAAGTATCTATGTACTCCATGAAAAAGCTTCAAAATACAAAAATCAGACTTTAACAGAATTGAAAAGACAAGTAGATGACTCCACAGTAATAGTAAGAGACTTTAATACACCAATTCAATGAAAGATAGAACTGGAAAAAACTCAACAAAGACTCAGAACTAAACAACACAACCCACCAACTTGATTTTACAGACATCTACAGAGCACTTTATCCAACAATAGCACAATATACATTCTTTTCCAGTGCACATGAAACACTCTCCAGGACAGACCATGTTAGGCCACACCACGAGTCTCAATACATTTAAAAACATCTAAATACTGCAAAGTATCTTCTGAGATTACAATGCTATAATTAGAAACAAAATACAGGAAGATCAATGGAAAAAGAGCAAACACATGGAAACAGAGTAACACCCTCCTTAACAGTGACTGGGTAATGACACAAAAAATGAAATTAAAAAAATTTCTAGAATCATATGAGAATGAAAACACAACATACCAAAGTCTCTGGGACACAGCATGAGCAGTGATCAGTAGGCAAACTTAACAAAGGCAAAGAGGGAGAGAACACAAATAACACATCTAAGAAACAAATTGGGTGACGTCACAACAGAACCAACTGAAATAAAAAGGGCAGTATCAGGATACCATGAAGAACTGTACTCCAACAAATTTGAGAATCTAGAAGAAATCGACGGATTTCTAGAAACATACTATTTACGTAAACTAACACAGACTGAGGTGCAAAATTTAACAGACCCGTAATAAAAGAAGAAATTAAACAGGTCATAAAAAAATTACCACCCAAAAAAGTCTTGGCCCAAATGGTTTCACTGGAGAATTCTATCAAACGTTCAAAGAACTGATACCAATCCTACTCAAACTACTCCAGAACACAGAAAAGGATGGAAACCTCCCAAATTCATTTTATGAAGCAAGCATAACCCTGATACTAAAACCAGGCAAAGACATCACTGGAAAGGAAAACTACAGACCAATATTCCTCATGAATATAGACACAAAAGTCTTCAACAAAATCCCAGCCAACAGACTCCAACAACATATCAAAAAAATAATACACCATGACCAAGTACAGTTCATACCAGGTATGCAAGGACAGTTCAACATCAGAAGAACAATCAATGTAATCCATCCCATAAGTAAAATTAAAAAAAGAACCATATGATCATATTAATAGATGCAGAAAAGGCATTTGATAAAATCCAACACCCGTTCCTGAAAAAAGTTATCAGAAAAACAGGAATAGAAAGGAAATTCCTCAACATAATAAAGGGCATATATGAAAAACCAACACCCAACATTATTCTCAATGGAGAGAGACTAAAACATTCCCCTTGCAAATGTGCATCAGACAAGGATGCCCTCTGTCACCACTTCTATTCAACATTTCACTGGAAGTCCTCGCCAGGACAATAAGGTAAGAAAGGGAAACCAAAGGCATCCAGATTGGTAAGGAAGAAGTCAAACTATCCCTATTTGCTGATGATATGATCCTATACATAGAGAACCCAAGAGACTCAGCTAAAAAACTACTGGTACTAACTGAGAGATTAAGCATAGTGGCAGGATACAAGATCAACACAGAAAAATCTGTTACATTTCCCTGCACCAGCAAAGAGATTGCCGAAAATAAAATGAGTAAATCCATATCATTTATAATAACTTACCAAAACAATAAAATACTTGGGAATAAATCTTACCAGGGATCATACCTCACACCATACCCAAAAACTAACTCCAGATGAATCAAAGACTTAAATGTGAAACTTAAAACTATAAAGTTCATCAAGAAAAGAATAGGGGCAAATTTAGGGGCCCTAATTTATTGCATAAATAGACTATCAACCATAACCCAGAATGCACAAATAGCAGAAGATAAATTAGAGGATTAGGACCTTCTGAAAATTAAGTTTTTATGTGCTTCAAAAGACTTCTCTCAAAGAGTAAAAAGAGAACCTGTAGTTTGGGAAAAAATGTTCGGCAACGGCATACCTGACAAGGGACTTATCTCTAAAACTGTACTCCAACACCTTCCTGGCCACAGCCAGCTACCCCGAGGGAGTGAGCAGTTTGACCTGTGGGCTCAGGACCATGGTTACAGGGGATACCAAGCTCAACTGGCATAACATACTACACAAAAATATTGTTCCACATCCCAGTTTGGGGAGCAGTGACTGGGATCGTAAAAGTCTGTAAGGGGCCATCTAGATGCAACAATGGGTCTCTCCTCATCCAGAGCAAAGAAGAATGAAGGAAACCAAAGGTGCACAAAAATAATTAGTCCAAGGGACTTGTGGACCATGAAATCCTCAGCTTATATGACTATAACACCAGAAGGACTAGATGGTACCTGGCTACCACTGTCAACTGCTCAGAGAAGGATTGGTGCAAGCGATCCTGGATAGAGTAGGAGAACCGTGTGCAACAAAACTCAAAATCCTAAAATAAAGAGCAAACCTGGTGAGACCCCTGTGATTATGGCCCCTAGTCACCCTTCAGGTCTAGAACTGAACTCATTCCTGTGGCTTCCAACCAAACAACAGACAGGCAGTAAACATTTACATCAGAAAGATACACTCTTTGGAGTGGTCAATCATGGGAGAACAGAAGGGTAGTGTTTGCACAGGGAGATAGCTCTGGGGGCAGGAGTGCATGGGAGGGAAGGACACAGAGAAAAGCTGTGGTGGTTAAGTTTGTGTGTCAACTCAACTGGGCCTGGTTGAGTGGCTAGGCAGCTGGTGGTAGTTATTCCCCATGATGAGACTGGCAATCAGCTCCATGGTGCAATCTACCACAGGCAGCTGAGTAGCTGCTCTTGGGCTGTGGCCTGCTTCCTGTATATAAGCAAAAGCCTTGGGGATAGTCTCTAGCTTATGGCACACTTGGACCCTTATGTAGCCGTGTCGTTGTTCAGCAGCCTGCCATGCTCTGCTGTCCTTGGGACTTAAAATGAACTTGAATTGATGGCCTGCCATGTGGTTTGGTAACATTGGGACTGTACCTTTTTATTTGTCGACCTTGGGCTTGGCAGCCTCAGCAGCCAGTAGCTGCCTGAGTGAAAAGATGCCTCTAGCTTCAGTGGGCTGGGAGCAAGAGGTGGAGCTGAAGCCCAAGATCGAGGGGCGTTTACATAGCCCCTCGAGCCTGGCACTTGGAACTTGGACTTAAAGCCCCCATATTGTAAGAATAAACGCCTGTTTGTTCAAGCCATCCCATCTGTGGTACATTCCTGTCAGAGTGGCACTAGGGAACCAGAACAAGAGGTAACTATGGAGAGGAAGTGGGAAGAGAGCTGTTACACTGTGGGAAATTGCAGTCAATGTCATGAGATGAAATGTGTATGAAAAATGAATTTGCTCTGTAAACTTTCACCCAAATCACAATTAAAAAAAGAAGAAGGGACAGGAAACGGAGTGACGGGTTTGGAGAGGAAGGGTAAGAAAGGTGTTCCTGCCGAGAAGCAGCCGGGAATGGCGAGACCAGTGAAGCAGAAGGAAGAGCTGCAAGAGGGCAGAGCCCAGGCCTGGGCAGGACAGACACCGAGGCTGCAGTGGGGCTCAGAGAGCTGGGCAGGTGGAACATCGCTCCACAGGGGCTGCAGGCGGGTACACCGAGGGGCAGTACAAGCAGAGGGGCAGGCGGTGACGGGCGGAGCTGGTCGGAGAACCAAACCGGGCTGCACTGGCAGTGTCTGCCTTGGAAACAAAGGACACAGGGTGGGTGGACGGGGACAGACCAGGGGGAGGCCTGCAGATGACCAGAGAGGAAGCCTAGGCCCCCCGGTCCCTGTGCTGGTCTCAGGTCAGAGGCAGGGGAGACCAAGTGCCAAAGGGCATTAAGAGAACAGGGTGGGGCACGACACAGCCCCACCGATTGCCACAGCACCGAGACAGCAAAGTATCCTGCCAGGCCGCAGTCACCGATGTTTATACAACGCTCATGCTCCTCTAAGAGGGAACATAAAACATCTCCCACGTAAGGTAGGCTCTAAAATCAACATTTCCTTTTGCACATGGAGCAGAACTGCTAAAACGTCCATGAAGATCTTAATTTGCCTTTCAGGAAACAAAACTCAGGCCAATAGACTCCAGGGCGAGCTCTGAGTAGAGTGCCTGGGAAAGAAAGCAAGCGGCTGAGAGCTGTGGGCATCCGGCGGACACCAAGAGCCACCTGAGCTCGCTGGCTCCTGGAGGAGCAGAGGCCGCGTGCCACAGAACTTCCGTTGCACGGGCCCTGTTCTCTCAGGACAGAAACCCCATTTTTTTGTTTGCTCGTCTGTTTTTTGGGGGGCACTCCATACTGACCTCTGCTCTTTTGAGCATCTCCCACTTGTTGAGGATCTTCATGGCGTAAATCCGTTCCGTGTTCTTCATTTTGACAACAGCAACCTGGAACACAGACGCTAGTTAACAGAGGTTCTGTTAAGGGAACCCAAGCCTAGCACCTTTCATGTAAGCACAGCAACACTGAGGTTACCTGGGAACCCTGGAAACCGAGCTGTTAGGGGAACATGAAATTTTCTTCCGAAGTCAAGATTTGCCCTTTTAAGCACTAGCCTTGACTGTAGGCACAATGCAGTTTTAATGGTATCACTTGGTTCCAGAAGCTTCCATTCTGAATAACGAGTACACTGGACTCTCTACTTTGGAGTAGACTAAAACTTTTCATAATAACAACTTTTAAAAGATCGTCAGAGGGTCTCAAACTTCTCCCTACATCCAATACCCCTGGCCTGTCTCGCCCCCACCCCCAGTGCTCAGTCTTGCCCCACCCCCTTTGCACGCTGCAGTTTTTTCATCTGGCAGCTTGAGCAAATTCACTTTGTGCCTCAGTTTCCACAACTGTAAGACAAGGGAAGATTGGAAATGCCTTATAAAATTGCTGTGAAGAGCAAACAAGCCAACGTATTTAACCTGATCAGAACCATGTTAAGCACATAGCTGTACTCAAGTATGTGAGCCGTCAGCCACGGTTTTAAGCACATAGCTGTACTCAAGTATGTGAGCCGTCAGCCACGGTTCTGCAAGGTACAGCTCAAATGTCGCCCGTTCCATAGTCTTTCTGACCTAACAAACTCACTGCCGTGGAGTCGGAGCCGACTCAAAGCGACCCCTCCTTGAGTTTCTGAGGCGGTATCACTACGAAAGTGGATTCCCTCATCTTCCTTCCAAGGAGTAGCTGGTGGGTTTGAACCGTCATCCCTCTGGTTAGCAGTCAAATGCCTTAGGCACTATGCTACTAGAGCTCCTAGTCCCCTCCAAATCTCTAGCAATGCCTGGCCCAGTGTTTGCACCCCTCATGGCACGTCCTACTCTCTGTGAGGTAGTCACTCACTGGCTAATGCCCCGCCACAGCACTGCACACGACCTATCAGTAGCTGAAGTGACTTCTGTATCCATCTGCCACCAAGGACAGACGGCCAGCATGTCTCCTTGCACATAGCAGGCATGGAACAGAGCTCTTCAACTGATGCACCCCTGCTATCACATGGGCAAAGAGAGGACGAGTGCTAACCCGTGGCACCTTGCACTCTCTCATCCCCTCCATCAAAGATCCCAGCAGGTGGGCGGCTCTGGCATCCACTGAGGACGAAACTGAGGCTCAGAGGGGCTACAGAACATATCCAACAAGGGGCAGCGTCTAGGCTCAAACAGCCCCTCAACCTCAGGCACATAATTTTCAAGATATGTTACAATACAATGACAGTCATATGTAACGATCTCCTTCTCTAGTCCTAGCAATGGGGGTGACCACGATGGACTCGTTGTGACAGGACCCCAGAGCCTGCTAGGGGTTTAGAGGCCCCACACTACCTGGTTCCCAGTCAGGCTCTCCCCTCACCTGCCCTGCTGGCTGAAGCCCTAGTGACCTCCCTGTTGCCACCTCGTGCTCCCTGTGTGCTGGCCTCTCGTCAGACCTAGGCTGCTGTTAGCTACAGCCTTAGAAACCGAGAACCTGACCACGCAGTGCCTCCATCATCTGAGACTACAGAGTGTCCACATAAAGTAAGACCATGTAGAGACTATATAAAGCAAGACCACATAGTGTCTACATACTGGCCAGCGCACCTCTCCACATCTCAGAGAGTAAGAACATTGGTGCACACTCTTTGTTATCACTATTTTCTCCTATAGCGATCCTTCCTTGGGTTTCCGAGGCAGTATCACTACAGAAATAGATTGCCCAACCTTCCTTCCGAGGAGCGGCTAGTGGGTTTGAACCACCAGCCTTCTGGTTAGCAGTCAAATAAATGCCTTAGGCACTACACCACCACAGCTCCCTTTTCCCATTTAGAAGCATCTATTTATTCCTGGGAATTAGCTATGCTCTAGATAGGTGAGACCAAAATCAATCTCATTGCCACTAACTTGATTCCAACTCACAGCACCCCTAGAGGACACAGCAGAACTGTCCCTAGGTCTGCAAGACTGTCATCTTTCCAGAAGCTGACTGCCATGTGTTCTTTCAAGGACACCAGTGTGAAAACAAAACAGAACAGTAGAAGTACTTCCTCCTGAAACAAACTAACTTAGGAGAGAAAAGAAGGAGAAAGAAAGAGCTGACAAGTTTTTTTTTTTAATTTTATTTTGATTTGGGTGAAGATTTACAGAGTAAATTCACTTTTCATACAGCAGTTCACATATACTTTGTCTCATGTCA